ACAGGGCTGTCTCTAGGCTAGGGGAAGGGAGTATCAGTAAGTCAAGAGTATGCCTGTGCAATTGAAGTCCAATGCTTTTGATAGGTGTTGCAACCCCCAACCAAAAAAAGGCAGGGCTTCAGCCATGCAGAGACAATCTTAATTTTTTTTTTTAATCCTTTCTGCCGATGTTTCTGAGTAGACCAAGTAGGAAAGATGTATGTTCCTCATAGGTAACTGCTGGAATTTTTACCGCAACTGGAAATTAATACAATCACAAGACTCTTGGGTATTACCAGAAGCAAATAATGACACATGAATATTCCATTATGGATCTATGTGACCAACACTTGTGATACTCATGAATAATTAGTGAATGAATTAGGCCAGGGGTCCCCAACCCCCAGTCCGTGGACCAGTACCAGGCTGCGGCATGCCAGCAACCGGGCCACAGAAACAAGCAAATCCCCATCCACGAGATGCAGACAGCACACAAAACCACGTCCCTCCAGTCTGTGGAAAAACCTCTCTCCACGGAACCGGTCCCTGGCACTCAAAAGGTTGGGGATCTCTGAATTAGGCAAGTCATTCAAATGCCTTTCTTGATATACTAGAATTAACCCTAACATATCCCAGAGATCTTATGAGGTGTAATGTACTTTTATAGTGTTTTAAAATGCTATTCAAATAACTCCAAAATAAATTATTAGTTGTAATAATTATATTCAAAAGTAAAATCATTTACATCTCATCTAAAAACCCATATGTACACATACAAACTAACAAGAACACATTAAACATGTCACTTTGAGTACTCAATATGTTTGCAACCACATGCATTTTACAACTCTTTTAGAAAGGGAATTAACTACTGATCCAGCATCCCTGCTGGTTTATTCTTGGTCTGAGTTGTGTCACATGCAAATGCTGGCTAACTGAATCATGGTTTGGATTAACCCAATTGCCTCATCTCACACAACACATCAATTGTATCCTATTGTGCTTGTTGAAATTAGCTCCTGCAAAGACCTATAATTTCAAGCATGCTGAATTCAAGATTTTTATGTATGTAAACTTTTACAAGGAACTTCTGCAAGGATTTACAATAATTCTATATGATTTGGGGCAGTAATTTAACTAATTGGTATTTTTTTTAAAAAAAAACAAGAAATTATACTTTTGGTAATATAAACAAAGACTAAAATATAAAAATTTTAAACCCCATAAATTTAAAAAAAACTTCACCTTATAATGTCTTGATTTTCTAATTCAGAACACATAATGAAAAGCAATGATACAATGATCAGCAATTAGGGTTGTGCAAAATGTCTCAGATTAGAACAAATTTAAGGTTGAAACCTCCCTACATTGTCTTTGAAATATTTGTTCTGAATTTGACATGGGCTGTCAAATAGGAAAGTATTTCAAATTGGGGTCAAATATTTTGAGCTTCAAATGCAACTTGGAAAATTTCTAACAAAGTTGGAAGAGCTTGTGTGAACTCAAAACAACTGCTTCCACCCTGAAAGAAGGAATTTTGAGGCCATTTCTATTCAAACTGGAAATATTTTGTCCAATTCTATCGTAATATCCAGTTATTATTGATATGATAAATACAGTATTAATTTGGCTTCAATTAAAGCAAATAAAGGGTTAGATTTAAGTAGGCAGAAAGAATGCGAAGAGAAGAAATTACAGAAGAGAAAGAGACAGTTGGAAACAAGTAAAAGGGAAAGGAGATAACCAGTATATAGAAAAGAGAAAATGGATAACTTTCGTGACAATTGTTCTATAATGAAGCCTATGGAAGGATTCTCTTGATCTATTGTTTTAAAGAGCATGATCTTATATCCTATATTATTTTATTATAAATATTTTAGCCAAAGTCAACTTTTAATTGTTCATAATCAAGTGATCCTCTACATATATAATAGTATGTGGGAAAGACCTTGGAAGGAATGGCCAAGAAATGCTGCCTAGGGAATGATCAGATAAGAGACAGCATCGTCCACAGCTGGATAGTGAGCAAGGAAGATGTTCAGAAGAGACCCTAATTTTTGGGCTGTAAAAATGGTAGGAGAATGGTGCTTTCAGACTTGCAAGATTCTGTTAACGTAGCTTTATAACAGAATGGAATTTGCTCATCTGGTTGCAATTCCTATCTGGTCCAGCTAGTAAGACTGATAAAATGGGACAGTTTCTGTTCTAGTAACCATCTGTGATGGTCACATGGGCTGGCCTAAGACTGCACTACTAGGAAAAGAACCAGTAAGAAATAAAATCTCTCTCTCTCTCTCATTTTGCAGTGTGGCTGTAAAATCTTGAAAAGTGTTTCTTTGCCCCCGTCTTCCCATAACAGAATAAATTGTGCTACTTATGATCAAGCAAATTCAGTTTTGCCATAAATTATTATCAAATGCTAGGAGTATTTTAAAATCTAGAAACTTTTATAATTGAAGCCTTGTTGAAATGATGTAGGTCAGGAAAAACTCAATTACCAAATGGATTTTTAGAATCATAAAGCTTTTACAACCTGTGACACTGAATTCTATTATCTAATCAGATATTTTGTCTGACAAGATTGATATCGACATCATTATTTTTTTTAAAAAAATTAAAACAATAGACTTTTGAACACCAAGAGATCCTTAGTACTTGTACACAAACATATAAATTGAAGTGTATATGGGAAAATAATCTGAATAAACAGTTGTAGCTTAATATATGCAAGTACTACAGAAATGGTTATATCTCTGTCTTGAATCTGTTCATCTAATGTTGAATAAATGAGAGAACCCGAACATATTTAAAGTTGAAAAAAACAAAATTACAGTATCATGGTATCCTCAAAATTGACAGCATCAAGCTATGTGCTTTGCAAAATATAGAGGTTTCCATTCCAAGAAAATTGCTCTTATTATTGAATGAGCATGAATCTGATGTAACAACTATCTGGAGATATATATATCAGCAGGAAGAAAGGCAGCATTTGACTGTGTCTTCAATAATGGAAAATGAAAAATAAATAAGGAACACACTTACTTTATTCCAGAATCTGTAATGAAATGAATATGGCATGTGGGCTTTCTAGATATTTAAAATATTCTCTATCACAGTGGCCCTCAACCTTTCATGTGCCAAGAATCAGTTCTGTGGAGGGCAATTTTTCTCCAGACTGGGGGGGGAGGGGGCATGGTTTCATGCGCTGCCTGGATCCTGTGTGCGCACAGGTGGGATTTCCCTTGCTTGCATGTCCCGGTTACTGATAGGCCGTGGTCTGGTGCCATTCCATGGACCAGGGATTGGCAACCCTGCTCTATAACTATCTTGTCTGATGGAATATTAATATCTAAAAAAATCCATGATGGCTAAAACAGCACAAGGCTGAATAGAATCTATTTGTTTGAATTTTTTAAATAAAGTGTGTGGAATCCCCAATACAGAAATCATGACGCTAAAGAATCCGTTAAAACTCCTCTCTCCATAGTGGTCCTACTTTTAGAAGAAGCTGAAACTGGGGACTAAGATTCTAGAATAAAATACATGCACATCATACTATATTTATTTCTTTTTCACTTTCCTGGCTCAGTGCATATCCTTTTCTTTGTCTTCAGCACAGAAAAATACACCAAGAATAAATATGGACATGGAACAACAAACTATTTCCTGATCCTTAAGCTACTAGACAAAGTTAGATATAATACTAACAGGTGACCTTAGAGTATGTTTTTAGAATCTCTACACTCACCAAGAAGAAATGAAGAATCATCAAGAAATTGTATGGATTTAAGCTGTTCATAGGACCACAAAAACAGACACCAATATATCAAACCCAGAGTAAAAAGCCTCTTTGTCTGAAGTTGTATTGATCATTACCCAGTTTAAGTGTTTAAATTCTTTTTATGCAACCTTCCAGGCACCCTCATTTTTCCAACTTCAAAATAGCAAGCCCTTTTTTATACCCTAGTCAAACACTGACTTTAACTTAGCAAATACTTGAACCTAGGAGCAGTATGAATTCAAAGACTTCTTGCAGTGGAAAAATCTCGACCTGCTGTATCTCATGTTCAGCAGGTTTATTTACAACTCACGGACAGCAATTAAAGCCTGGCCAGATAAAAGAAACTTCACCTTGTGTGTTATTGAAGCAAATAATCTCTTCATAAAAGTACACATCAATTTCACTGCTCAAAGTGTTGTCCTTATTACAAGGTAATATTTCATACAGATAGTCTTTGACTTACAACTGTCTGTTTAATGACAGCGCAAAGTTATGACAGCCTCAAAAAATCTTCCTTACAATCTCCCCTCACCCTGCAGTTACGACCCTCCTGCCACCTCTGCAATCATGTAATTGCAATCTGGGCTCTTGGCAACTGGTTCGCATGGATGATAGTTGCATCATCTTGCGATCACCTAATAACAATTTGCAACTTCCCAGCGGGCTTCCCACAAGCCAAGTCAATTGGGGGAGCCAGGTTTGCTTAAAAACTGTGTAATTTGCTTAGTGTCCATGGTAAATGGTTGTAAACGTGGATCCAGTCACATGATGTCTCACTTAATAACTACATCTCTTTTGGAACTAAAATTACAGTCCCAATTGTGGTTGTAAGTCAAGGACTATACCAGTACTGCACTGGAATTCCTATTGAAAGTGAACAGTTACCATCCACAAATGAAGGCAAATATACGTGTCCCAGTATAATAATGCAAAATCGAATTTGAGTTGGTCACCGGAACCAGAGATTTACTCTTCCGAGCTCTTGGACTCGTGCTGGAGCCCATCTTCAGTTACCATCCATTTCCATTTCTGAACTGAACAGTTTTCCGTTCACACGCTCTGCTGAAGAATATCTCCAACTCTTTATTTTAACGTGGACTCTACCAGTGCAAATGACTGGATATCTGTATAAATATTCATCCGATTTCATCACTGGTTCAAAAAAAAAAAACAACCTGAAAAGGAGAAGCAAGCCCTTTTAATTTTCTAAATAAAATGTTCTAAACTAGGGTCTTTTTTCCCCTTTCAAATTCTAACGCTAAATTTCAAGAAACATCTCAATGTCCCATGTTGTTGTGTTCTGTAGTCCTGGGTGACAACGCCTCTCGCTGGTGATCAGTAGCCACGTTACCCATCAGTGTATGCAATCTGCATTCAAAGCCCGAGACGAAACCTCACACATCATCTTTTTTTTTTTGCAGTTGATCCAGTTTCTTTTTTAAAAGACTATAGTTTTCCCTGGTCCCAGCTGCTGTGGGGTCAAGCTTCAGAGAGACTTCATAGTGTTTCTTGGCTAAGTCAAAATTTCCCCAGCGATGGTACAGTACAGCTGAAACAGCAAAAGGGATTTTTTTGTTAGCAGCGTTGTTGACGAATAGACAGTCTTGCCAATTATTTAGAAAACATTAAAACATTTGGTTGGCTGTCGGCACAGTGGCAGCCTGCTCTGTAGCCAGCTGGAGCAGACATGTTTGGAGCTACACAGGCCAAGGAATGACAAGAGTAGATTGTGCTAGAGCCATAAATGGCTATTTTTATCAGGAGGGCTTATTGTGATTTGCAAGCACAGGACAATTTGCCACCACTAACATACACCACCTCTGGGTTGCAGCAGGCAGCCTGCCTGGTAGGTCTGGTCATACAATGTGATCGGCTTGATACTATTGGAAACCTGCTCTAAGAACTCCAGTATCTTTTGGCAATTTGCTTAGCAAGCAGGCGGACGAGAAATCTAGCTAGCAGAAGAATGCCTGCAAGACACTGAATGTGAAAAAAAAAATTCAACCAGTGTCTGAATTTTTAAAAAAAAGTTTGCACCAGGGGAGCTATAAAATGTCTTACCCAAATTGCCATGGTAACTGGCAGCCGTTGGATTGGCTTTAATTGCCTTGTGGAACAAAGCTTCAGATTCCTGAATAATTCAGAAAAAGAGATCAACAGGACAAGCTATTTTTGTAGTGCCTACAATGTCAAGTGCAACCAAACACTCCCAATTACCTCATGCTCTATGGTCAATTAATGTGATTATGTCACCCTATTTTTTTCACGTGCATTCACACTTCCATTTCTCTCTAATGGAGATACGGACAATATAATTCACAGGCCAATCCAGCTGTTGGTTGGTAGTTGCTGTCAATTAGACTGTAATTACTTCAGTGTTGGTAAGAACACAAAAACACTTGTGGGCTGCATTAGAAACCAAAGGTTCATACAAATCACTACTTAAAACCAACACATTCAAATAAATTTAGTCTCAAAGAAAATTGATGGTATAAATCTAAAGTTATCAGATCTGGGCTACAAAAATCCAGACCACCTCTAAATTGCAGAAAACAGGTATCAAATCCTGCCTTTTGCTGCTCTCTAGAGATCATCTGGATTTTGGGATTTAATTACTTCTAAGACATTACAGTATTTCTATTTGAGGTGCATTCGCATACTTCATTGATAAACTGTAACAGCATTTTTACAGGAAAATCTCTCTCACACAGACAGACACACAAACAAAGAGAGAGAGAGAGAGAGAGAGAGAGAGAGAGAGAGAGAGAGAGAGAGAGAGAGAGAGAGAGAGAGAGAGAGAGAGAGAGAGAGAGAACGAGAACAATTTATAGCTTGGCAAAATAATTTTCATTATTTCTCTAACAAACTTTTGTTTCATATCTGTTCATAAAACTCTTCTTAATTTTCTATTTTCCCTGTGGCTGCAAATAACCTGCCTTAGTCCGAACAATTGAAAGCAGTGGGCGGTTTTCATGATTCATTTTTCAAAATGATTTCTGTAAAGCTTACAGATCCTTCATGGATGACATCCTTAAGGCTTTAAAGATTATATTTAAGCCAATTTCCTTTTGTTAAAAGAAAGTTATTGTTTAATAGGTAAGATCAAGAAAACTGTAGCCGCGTGCAACTTACATTGTTTTAAATGTTTTTATCATAATTAAAATAGGAACAAAAAACAATTCTGTACTTCAAACTATTTTTGAAATTGATGCTATTTTTTACTACAACAAGCTATCTAAAAAGTATCATCAAGTTCAAAAATTTGTTGAACAAAATAGTTTTTTTTTCTATATTTATGGTTTGAGCTTTTTGCATACAATAATTAATCGTAATAACTGAGACATATTTGTATCTGGATTTTGGATTGTTCTGGAAGAGACTCCTGCTTGTATATTTCTATCTACCCCTTAATAAAAAAAAAACCCAGTTTAGTCAAGTAAAAAAAAATAAAATGAAATTGCCTGGTAACAGCTGTTTAGGAAATGTCATCCCATAATCTGGCAAGGCCATTTGGACAGGACACAATTTCTCTTAAGATTTCTTTCCCCTGTAATTTTGAAAAAACAAACAAACCCACAAGTCTGCATAAAAATACATATTTTGTATGTTGGTTTCCAAATTAAATCCACTGCCAATTTTTTCAGTGAGTCACATTTCTGAGGACATACCTAATCTCCGAATCATTGAGAAATAAGATTTGTAGGAGAACTATCTACAAATTATGGTTAGAAAAATGCTTTACCTTATATTTCTGTGATTTCCCCAGTACATTTGCCAGCGAAAACATAAGAGAATGATCATTTGGTATTAACTCCAAAGCTTCCCTTCCAACAGTTTCTGCTTGTGCCAGGTTCCCTAGGAACAAATTAAAGGAGAGAGCGAGATGGAACAAGGGTGAATAGCTGTTTTTAATCAAAATAAAATGCTTAGCTATTTTCCTTAAAGAAAGCAAGAACAGATCAAATAATAAAAAATGAATTGCAAGTGAAGAGCAGGGCATTAAAATTTGCACTGTATTTTTTCTAGAGGTAAAGTATGATATAAATGTTTGGCTACTATGCATTTAAAACATGTTCATGATCAGAATGTGAATATAACCAGATTAAGAAATGTTCATATCAAACACAGAAATAAACTGAAGAACACCAACATGAAATAAAAGGTTTTGTGAATTTTCTGAAGGCTGTTGGAGAAAAAGAACAGAGGGAACCACCAGCAGAATGAAAGATTTTCTAGTTGATTAGTAAACTGACAAGTACTACTAGGATGACCCTTTCTTTTTTATTGAATTTTTTTTAATGCTAATCAAATTAGGACTCTTAATCAATTAATTTGATACAAAGATCCAATCCATTGTGAGATAAAACTGACATAATACATTGTGAGTCTTTTCAAAAGATGGTTGCCCGAAATCTCTACATCTGTTATGATTTCAAACACTAGAATGTAATAATAAATTTATTTCTTGTTTAATTCTGAGATTCTGCCTCCCCCAAGTACCGAATCATTACTTACAAAAGTATTTTGGAACACCATGAACCAAGACATTGATACAAATGGAAAACCGATTTCTAAAGACACACTTCTGGCACGTTCAACATTTTGCAATGGCAAGCTTATGTACAGTTTGTGAGAGATGCCGTTTTACAGCAGCTGTAAAATCTTGGGTTGGTGACATTCTAGTTTCTATTTTAGAACTAGAGCCCCACTTCATGTAGCAGAAAACAATGGGCTGGAGATCTAAACAAGATTCAGAAAAAAAAAATATTCTGGGAAAAAAAAGCATATTGTACCTGTATTGTCGAGCAATATAATCATATTGTTCCAAGCCAAGCTATGTTGTGGTTTCAGCACTGTGGCGTTTCTCCAGGCATTCAGTGCATCTATGTGGCGATTTAGATCAGCATACTGAAAGTAACACAATTGGCCATGAGATAACAAGTTAAGAAAAGTAGCCCTTGTTCAGGTCCCACTGTAGGAGAGTCGCTGCATACCAACTAAATCTGCAATGTGAATAGTGATAATTCCAGGACAGTGTTTTGTAAAGGTCAAATGTGAGAAAAATAATTTTACACTAAGAACTGCACATAATTGTGTACAGGGTAGAGGATTTATATATTTTCTGAACATTTTCCCCATTGTCTACAGACCTTCTGCTTACAAAAAGTCTGTATGCCTTGGTGCTGTGTTCTGCTTTGGATTTGGCCATTAAGAGGGGCTTCAGAGCACACAGGATCTCACACAGCCCCCGTGTGCAATTCTTTTAAGAAGCTGTGTCTTTTTCCAGGGTCGTGCCCACATTGTGGGTCAGTGCTTCTGCACCCTCCAAAAGCATGGAGAATGTCCCAAAGTATCCCTCATACTTAAATCAGAAGGGCTGTATTGCCCTAACATTCAAATAGCCCAACATTCTGCGCTTTTATTTTAGAAGGAAGATTGGTGTTTATTGATTGAAGAAACTGGCTTTTCCAACTGATATAAGCTTCTTTATTCTACCTGTCTTACATGTTGGAGTACAAAGCAAACAAGCAAGCAAAACAATCAAACAAAACCACAAAGAAAAACCACCAGAATAAGAGTAACAGCCAGGCAAAATTTGCCTATTATTTACATTTATCCAGTTACTGTCTGGAATATCAAGGTTGGTTTGGAAATAGGACACAGATGATCTATCCATAGTTTATAATCCACAACCTCAAGCATGGTTTTTGTAGTTCCAGGAGCTCCCAGGACACTTCTGGAGAGGGGGGAAACTCACATTTTCAGGTTTGGGGAGAATTTGAGTTTTGTGTAGCAACAGAGATCAAAAAGGGGCTTTAGGTCTTGTGGACGCATAATATAGCAATCTATGGCATTCACAAGGCATCACCGATCCCTAGTTGGTGCTAATTTTTTGCATGATAGTAAAACATTAAGAAATAAAATTACTCTTCCCCCCAATTTTGTGAGGGTTAATAGGAAAGGGAGAATTGACCCTTCTCCCCAAAAGACTGCCAAGAACAGTTCGGAGAAAATTAGCAGTGGTATCGGTATATCTGCTAATTTATTACTAATTTTGTTAAAGAGCATTTATCCCTACTATTGTTCAATTAATAGTCTCCTTAGGCTTTTTCTCCATTTCTCCCTAGACTTTTAGATGGTTCAATCACAGGTAGTCCTCGACGTACGACCACAATTGAGTCCAAAATTTCTGTTGTTAAGTGAGACATTTGTTACGTAGGTTTTGCCCCGTTTTACAACTTTTTTTCCACAGTTGTTAAATAAATCCTCGCAGCTGATAAGTTAATAACCTGGTTGTTAAGTGAATCTGGCTTCCCCATTGACTTTGCTTGTCAGATGGTCACAAAAGCTAATCACGTGACTCCAGGATACTGCAACCGTCATAAATAGGAACCAGTTGCCAAGCATCTGAATTTTGATTATGGGACCCAAGGGGGTGCCTGCAAATGTAACTGTGAAAAATGGTCATAAGTCTACGTTTTTCAATGTTGTTGTAACTTTGAACAGTCACTACATGAACTGTTGTAAGTCGAGGACTACCTGTACTATAGTAATTATATAGGACAGCAGCCCCCAATCTTTTGGCTACCAGGGACCAGTTTTGTGGAGAGAAGTTTTTCTGTGGATCGGAGTGGGCATGGTTCTACATCCTGCAGATGGAGCTTCACTTGTTTGCACGGATCGGTTTCTGGCATGCCACTGATTGGTGTTGGTCCATGGACCAGGGGTGGGTACCCCTGATATAGGACACAGTGTGCTTCTAATTTTCACCACTTTAATATACAGTTTTACATATTGTATATTCTTGTATATATAGTACAAGAAACATCTAGTTCCTCAATAAGAGTCTTTACTTGAGCATTTCTGGGAAACCAGAAGTTACAAAGTGAGGTTCGGTTTACATTCGCTCTGATGCAATCCTAATTTATAATTCACTTCTATTAAAAGTAAGACTGCAACTTCAGTGTGTGAAAGACCCTAAAGAATCTTCCTAAACAAATCCAAAGTCCAAGAAGGTACTCTCTAATAAGCAACTGATCAACATTCAAAACTCACCGCATCTTACGTATCTAGGACAGTGTTTCTTGACCTTGGCAACTTTAAGGTGTGTGGACTTCAACTCCCAGGTGTTGCTTGCTGGGGAATGCTGGGAGTTGACGACCAGACAACTTAAAGTTGCTAAGGTTGAGAAAGGCTGATCTAGGATCATTAGCAGAAAGATAAATAAGTACACTTACTAAGCGTCCTAGATTATAGTAACAATCTGGGTATTTTTTCCTGTGTCTAATTGCAGTCCAGTAGCTTTTCTCTGCTTCTTCATACCTTCTTAAGCTATTCTGCACTATCCCTAAATTCATCCAGGCTGCTGCAAAATCAGGCCTAGGCAAAGAGAGTTGTGAACATTTTAGCATAATAAGTACATGACAGCTTTGATGTCCCTTACTTATTTATAAAATTAAAAATGCAATCTGAATTTAAAACTGTAAAGCAATTTAAGGTTTTTTTAAAAACAAACAAACAATAATGTAATAACATAGTACATTAAGGACAAGGGGGAGGGGAGAATAATTTAAATACAAAAAATAGAGATAATGCACTTAAAGCCAGGCTGAATAGATTTTCCCTACAACTAAAGAGAAGGAAAACATGTTCTATAATCCAGAAACCACTCTCATTTGTTCTCATTGCTTCTCGGACTTTTGGTTAAGTAAGATTAAGTGCAGAAAATACTTGTTCTATGTTCGAATTAACCTAACTTCTCTTGTTGGTGGGATCTAAAGAAGGGCATTTGAATAAGGAAGGGATTGTCCTTCAGGTATCTTCAGTCTAACTCCTACATATGCCAAAGAAGCAAACTATTAGCCAATGGCACTGGTCCCCAAAGTATACGACAAGAAATAATATAACTCCATTTTGTAGTAGCTGCACTATTTGCACATCCTTTAAGACCAAATTTACTCTAGAGGCAGGCAAAGTACTTCATTCCAAGCAAGAAAAGTTTTGAGAAATTCTGGAATCTTTTCTTATCTTGACCATACTTTTTGGGTCTAGGCCACAGCATAACAATTTATGAAAAACAGCCTGAAAAAGACAGCTTTGTGTAATCTGGAGGAAGAATGTTCTAGAGTTTCCTCTAATGAAACACTTTACACATAACTGCATCACAGAGTATATTTCAGAAAATTAACTAAGAAAAGATCCAGATAATTCCACAATATTTGCCTTCATCCGTAATACAACAATATGTTGATGATCCACAGCTAGATTTTGGTGTTTAAAACATACTGTATTTGAACAGCTAGTGAGAGAAGTTCTTCAGCTTCATGAAGTTCATTTTTTTCTTTCAAGATATTTCCCAAGTTGTTCATGGCGTGAACGTATTTAGGATTCAATCTGGGATTGAAAAGACAAAAACAAATAAAAGAATTACTTAGTCAAAGGAGCCAGCTCTCCTAATTTTATTTGTCTACACAGCCACAATTCTTCTCTTCCACCTGTCATTTTTATATCAATTGAAGAACAGATGTCGGCACAGTCAAGCATGTATTAAATTGCCCTCAACATCTGACTACTGAACACCCGCATCCCAAATCAAAATGAAACAAGATGGAGAAGAAGGAAAAGCCTCCCAAATAAACTTCAAAAGCAACGGTTTCTGTTTACATGCATTTTTGTATAGCCTGGCTTTGATCTCAGCAATGCTTTATTGCTCGCTAATGGTTGTATAGGTAGTCTCCGACTTACAACCATTCGTTTAGCAGCCTTTAAGGTTACAAACTGGTCATTGTACTTATGACCATCTCAGCATCTCCATGGTCACGTGATCAAAATTTAAGAGCTTGACAATCATTGATGATGGTTGCTGAGTCCCATTTGCAACCTTCCCTACTAGCTTCTAACAAAGTCAATGGAGGGAAGCCTGATTCGCTTAACAACTGCAACAATTCACCTAACATCCGTGGTAAAGAAGGTTGTAAAATCAGACCTGACTGATTTAGCAGATACCTTGCTTAGCAACAGAAATTCTGGCCCCAATTGTGGCTGTAAGTCAAGGACTACCTGTCCTGAGGACAATAACAGGAAGCATAGCTTCGCCGTTAATTAAAGTCTGGAACTAAACATCCTCATTATTTGAGGATGAGTAATAAAATGTGGTGTTAATGTCCAAATCTGTCTTCAAATTTTACAGATATGTAACTTTATCTAGTTAATACAGTTGATGTTTATAAAGTATTTTTCCTGGGCCACATCACCAATATTTTTAAATCACTGTGTTAGTTTCCAAATTCTGCTAAGCCCCTTTTATTTTATTTTATTTTATTTTATTTTATTAAACTAGATTTACCTTAGTGCACTATAAAATCCCAGCCACTGTAACATGGTATATTGTTTAACATTAAGTACGTACTAAAACAGAACGGTTCATTCAAGAACACATAGTTAAAACAAACATGGCTTAGAACGGTGATGGCGAACCTTTTAGAGACTGAGTGCCCAAACTGCAACCCAAAACCCACTTATGCATCGGCGGGTGCTGGGTGGGTATGGCCTATTGGGTGGGTGTGGCCCATTGGGTGGGCGTGGCTGCAGTGGTAACAGCAGACTGGGTGGGACTAAAAAGTTCAATCAATCAATTCCAACTTTGCAAGATCTTTTTTTTTCCCTGCGAGAAGTTGAAATTGATTGATTGAACCTTTTTTTTTGTACACGGCGGCGGAGGCCTAAAGCGAAAAGGTTTTATAAAACCCAGCTGAAGGCCTAGGACTGGAGTGACAGCGCACATGCCCACAGAGAGGGCTCTGAGTGCCGCCTCTGGCACCCGTGCCATAGGTTCGCCACCACTGGCTTAGAATGTATTTCCTTAAATTAATGTTTTATTCTGTATTCTGTACAATATTCTATCATCACTGCTGATGATCTTTCTGAATAGTCAGGTTCTTACCCTGTATCTGCTTTCTGCTTTTTTAACCAAACCAACATTAAAAAAAAAAAAGCACCCCAAATCATCCATACCTTACAGCCTCTCTGTAGTAGCTGATTGCAGCACTTTGATTGCCATTATCGGCTAAGTTTTTGCCAACATTATAATGGACCTGAAAGCAAAGATCAGAACTATATCATTCTAGCCAGTGACATTCTTTCAATGCATATGACTTTTGGTTTACAGAAATTTGATTTGGACAATTATAACAATTTCAATAAACGTGAATTTTTTATTCTTGTATTTTAACATGATGCTTGGTATGCCTATCCAAAAAACCAAATTATTATGCAAGAGGCAGATTTTTGTTTGATCCTTGATAAAACAACAGCTAGGAGAAAAAAAAGCGATAGAGTATTGAAAGAGCTCTTAGCTTTAAGTGTAGAGGCTCTGGTCACCAGCCATATATCAGGAACACTTAATAAGACCCAGAGTTTATCTTCACCCACCACCACTTTCAATGACCATATCCTTATCAAAACCTTCATGAACACCTGGTGGACAACTCCAGGAGAAATGCTACAACTGTATGCATCCTAGTTTCCAAGCTAGTTAAGGTGCTGCAGAGTTCTAGCTTGTTTGAAAGCTCAAAGGTATTTTTCTATCAGATATCCATGCTGCAATTTGTTGGAGAATGAAAAAAAATTCTCAATGGTTAATTGGTTTGGGTATGGAACCTTTTCTTTGATAATGGAAATGCTATTCAGAAAGTGACTATTAAGATCGCGTTTTAATTACACATCTAAGTCAAGTAATTTCCAAATGAAAATCAAACTGATGCTGATACTGACAATTGGCTGGAATGCTTATGTCAGATTTAATTTTACTATATTTTAATTTGCTCTATAACTGTACTTTTTCATGTAGTCAATCTCAAATAAATATTATGGTTTCAAAATTAAATCTAAGAATTACAACCTTTGTAATTAAGAAAACAAAATCAGGAGTTACATATTTAAGTTTTGTGATTAGAATGGATTGCTTTCTGCAACAAATGTATAAAAGACTAAGTTCAGCTGTGTGTTAGAATATGATTATACAGTCTATATATTTTCACATTTTGTCTTGGTGGGAACTGTACTCCAAATTAACATGAAAATGGGTCCCCTGTTTCAAGAAATATTAAAACATAATGCCAGATACTATAAAAATGTATTATAATTACTTCTATATGCCCATATCTCTACAGAACACTAAAAGGAAAATCTATTGTTGGATGTGACAATCTAAGCAGAATGCTAGCTCTTTATAGAACTGACTTTTTTCCTATTTTGAATTGACTTACAATATTACATTTTGTTCATATTGAAACTTATATTCCAGATTCTCTCTCATTAACCTGCCTTTTGACATATTCTAGAGGAAGACTTAAGATAGAAAAGTAAAAGTTCCATTGCTCACATTTTAGACATAACAACTGTAATGAGAGGAGGATGAAGATCATATAACATTTGTGCCCGGTGAATACAATATATTATTAACAGCTTTATTAACAACATCCAGTTCTTAATAATGCAGAAAATCAGGGATTAATCCAATTTTTGAAGAAGCACCTCTGCACAAATAACACAAATTCTGAATTATCTGCTACCATCTTGTGCTCATAAGTAAATAAATAAACCATTTCACTCCTAACAATATTAGTTTAGGAACTGTTAAGCTTAGAAGTAAAACAGCATAATTTATTCACAGATCCTTCCTATGAACAGAACATTCAGATCAAAAAATGTATAAAACAGCATTTGAAGTTGTTGGTCTACATGACAAGGGATATGTATGCCCCAAAGCCACATGTTCACTGGATTTATTACTCTTCAAAAATGCTATACAGCTGGTGACTGTGTGCCACACACCACTGCATCACAAAAGATCATGTAATCTTCGGAGTTTTTTACCTAACTCAGACATCAACAATAGTCAAATTAATTCTAGTGATGGAGAAGCAAAAATAATTTAAGGCATGAAGGCAAAACTTTAATTCAGGCACGATGCCCATGGCATTTCAGAAATCGAGACTGTGCTAATGAGTGTGCCTATATCCAATCAATAAAATTTGGTGTGACATCGTCGCTAAACACGCAATGAAGATGTTCTTGTTTTCTTATTCAGGAAATATGATATTATTCTTATTAGCTATCACTAACACAGCAACTGTATCACTAAATAGGACTTGAAGCATTGTTCACTACTTATTTTAAAAACGGTTTTAATGTGATCTTGGATGTTTTATAGAATGTATAGGATTTTTCTTCCTATGGTCGTTTTCCAATTAGGAAATGAAGTAATAAAATGTATACAGAAAACAATTGAACTAAGATAAATCATTAGGAATAAATACCTTCACTAAATGTTTTGATTATTAAAACTGCTGATATAATAGAGAATACTCCCAAGGTGATTGTGCAAGAAGGTAAATACCAGAAATGATAATTATTTACAATAATAGAACAATAGAATTATTATTTTTAGAAAATGCAAAAGCTTACTTTGGCATTCAGTGGACAAACAGACAAAGCACTTCTAAAAAGCTGCTCCTCCGATCTCCATTGGTTACTACGGATGATGGAACGCCACACATTTATCAATAAGAGACCCAGCAGAGCAGCAACCAACAATTTCTTGAGAAAGAAGACACATATTAAAAACCTCAGCTTTTAAATCTCTTTTCCATTTTGTCAACCGTTAGGATAATGTTGTTTGTACCTTTTTGTTAGCTTGTTTACACAACAGACAAAATCCGTATGTAATCAATATGCAGTAACCAATACTGGGGAGATAGGTGACTCTCTCGGCAATAACAAACCCAACTCTAAAAAATAGGTTACTTGCAGGAAGAAAAGGAAGGATGAGAAATCCCAATCCCAGAGTAAGGATTCTGAAATGCAGAGGAAAAAATTATTTTACAACATGTAATGAAACTCTCACTACAATATTATGATACAAGAAATTCAAATGCATATTGCCATTTGTCTAAGTTTCCATTCCCCAGAAAGAGTCATCATGGGGGAAAATCACATAGGCTTCTCAGCATGGTCCTTAACTTCCAGTATTAAAGGATTACAAACCATTTAGAAAGAAATGATTCAATCTAATAATTCTAACTAGGCAAGATGAAGATCGAAACTATTCTCTTTATTTTGAAGAAATTGTTACCTCTGTAGAAGAGCTCTACAGGATGACTACTATTTAACTATGAGTTTCTCAGGTTTATTACAAGATATTTTGCTTTTTTTTTTTTTTTAATCATGAACCATGGCTCTCTGTTTTGTTTTTTTCCCCCACCATATCAATGTGTAGGATTTCAGATGACAAGACACAACAGCAACTGCCTAAATACAGTTATTTCCTTTTAATGTTTTGGGGATATTAAAGACTAGTCCTAGATATTTCCTAGGAACATGCAGTGCTGCATATCTGGAACAAAACACATTTTGATGGCTTAGAAAAATATCACTATCAAGAAAAATGTAAATATCCAAACATAATACAGTGAAGAAAAATATCTAAGATGTCTGTAGTAAAAAAAATCTGCAGAACAGAAAGTGTGCATGTATGTGGAGGGATAGATGGGTGTTAAGATAAATAAACTACATATTTATTCTTTGGTCTCCTGGTCTTTTCAATTGTCTATTGAAAAACCTTCTGTAGAAACGGGTCCTTCCTAAACAATGTGGGTTGGAGTAGTGGAAGTTTTGGGACAGGGTGACTGGCTTCAAATGGGGCTTACAGTATAACATAAATAATCTCAAAAAAAATCACAGAAGGAAAGCTTTCAATTTCTTCCCCAAAATTTTCCCCACTTTCCTTTCCTTTGCATTATTAGGACAACCCTTCCTTGCAATTTTGTTTGGAACTATACATGATGTGCAATGAACCATTCAAGCACTATGATGCACATAAGATTATTATTTTTTAAATCATTCTTGTTTTAAATATTGCAATCTGAAACAAAGCAAGTGCTCACAGAAAATGTCTAATCTGAAGCCCAGTCCTTTTTGTCAATTAAAACAAGTGCAAATGAGAGAATAATTACTGATTATCTAATCAACACAGAAATGTACCTTAACACTTTTACAGAAATCATTTAACAATTCAATTCTGTCAAACAACTTTCACTTGTTTAAAATGATAGTATGTTTTTCCATTATTTTCCCTAGATCTGTTTACCAACGAAAGAGTAATCATCCTGGGGCAAAATTCCATTTAAAACTAACACAGCCAATATCAATAATTATTTTTTTAGTCTCTTATTTTTTGTTTTGCTGGAGGAACAGTGTTGAAAAACATCGCAGATCAATTATACGTTATTCTGAGCACAAATTATTTTTTTTACTTCCTACAGAGTTAAGGAGCTCAAAATATCCTCTCACAAGATAAGGCATCACTTTCCCCTTCAGGTTTTCTTCCCATGGCCAGTGGAAATAAAGATGGGCCCCAATTAGGAGGGTGCTGCTATAAATATTTATTGGCGCTGCATTTGCTAAAGAATATTGATTCCACTAATTCCACAAAGAAGAGTGGTGCTATATATCATGCAATAATGTCTTACCAACTTAGGAGAGCCTTAACATGTTGACCCGCATTTACCTTCTCTTCTGGCCATCTTTCGAACCCATAGCTTGGCACACCAGCACAATCAGGCACAGCCAAAGAAGCACCAGGGCAATTATTCTCCGGTCACTGACTGATTTAATAAGGGGCACGCAGCCCATTGACCAATCAAAACACAGCCACCAGGGACACAGCAGCAGCCAAGCATTCAGAGAATAGTAGTAATTATAATTTACAACCTGTCAATGAAAGGAAAAATATGTGTGTGCGTGTGTGTATATGAGGTTGTGGGAATATCAAAAACAGGGAGGGCAATCAACGTTTCACAAATGAATCTGAATTTCAAGGAAACATCTTCTGCTATTTAAACTGAATCGAACCAAACAGATTTCACAAGACTCAACCAGTTAGTGAAATGTAAGTAAAATAATGTTATCTTGATGTGATCAGAATCACCTTGCAGGTCAAGATGATTACAGTTCCTTGGAAGGTTAGGAAATAATGTATGTATAAATCAAAGGCCCCCATGGAAAGTTTAAAATTCAAGATGGCTGTTATGACCACACAATTGGAGTCAAGCCTCTTGTGTATACGTTATTAAAAGGGACACCCCTTCAATCTGGGGGAGGTCACTTCTGTTTTCATTTCTTTGATTCCAACCCCTCCTCCCTGCTGGCCCTGATATGAACTTATACAACTACATGAGATCCTGGTCCAACCCAGATTCATACTGTCTATTTTGATCAGCAACTATTTCCAAGACCCCTGGTAGACATTTTTTTTCCTAAACTATTATTGGCATAGTTGGAAGTGAACTCAATTGGGAACTCAATTTACACAGTACATTCACTGTGTTACTGCCCTGTGCCACTGTCTGATCTTTTGAATAATCATTAATGTTGGCAAAACCCCATTTTTTCCAGCTTACCCTTACAAAAAGACTGGTTGCAAATGAAGCTGGGTTATCCACTTCTGTAAATGCTGGAGGCCCTGTGCCCATAATTTGCCAGCGGGCATATAGAATAGAGGCTCCTCCAGATAACAAAAGAGTCATTCTGAAAAGAAGTCCTTTTCTAAACACCACCAGGCTCTATGAAGAAAAGGGAAATAATTATTAAAAAAAAGAAATCTAAGTTATTAACTGCTTTTTACTCTTAAAAATAGAAACAGAGCAGATAGGTATGCACAGACTGGATAGGAATGAGAAAAGTTAACTGGCTCTCATTAAAATAATTGTAACAGCCATTAAAATAACCAAGATTGTGGGAGAACAACAACCATTTGAACATCCTGCTTGCTCCCCAGGGGAACCCCAAGGTTTTTGGATAAATCATGGTTTAAAGGCTTCCCAGAAAGCTAGTAAGGATAGATGGTTTGAATCATGGCCCAAATTAAATTCCATAGCTGTATAAGAATAACCAAGTGTGGGAGGCATCTATCATTATATACAGTATTTTGCCATAAAAGATATTGAAATGCAATTCCTCATTATAGAAACATCCATGTAGGTGTTACTGCTGGTTGAATTATGTTGGTGTCATTTGATTTTATTGATCTGTACATTTATGCACTGGCTTGATAGTTGGGTAGTATAAAATGTCATTAAAAACAAGCATTGTTTTATAGTACTGCACCAGAATAGGAAACATTAAGAAATAATTCTATAAATTTCAATGCTTATCTATCTCACAAGCTTAATAACAGAATAAAAGATTCTACTTTTATTGAAATCAACAGAGAAGTCTTTTGGAAGGAAATTTGGTGGAAATATTATTTGTTAGTTTGCTAAGCTTTTTTTAAAATTATTTAACGTTACTTTCTAAATGTATCAATACCCTTATTTCAGATATGTCAATGTGAATGTATACAAACCTATATAGTATTGTCATTGTTTTAACTGTTCATAATTTGAAAAAAAAATATTTTTACACTTTGATAGATATTTAAAATACTTATAGCTGTCATGTAACAGAATTCAATAGTAGCCTGGAATGATATTTTTTTATTTTATTTGACAGAGAATATCAATGGTGTTTAGTATTTGACATTAATAGTAGACATTCTATGATATTTTGAATTTGTTAGATGACATGCAATCCTTTATGATATCTGGCAGTTATCAGATACTATTATTCACCGTGTTTGATAACTGAGAAAACAACAAATTAAACAAGGAAGAAAGCCAATATTACAGTAACAGTCAGGTTTCAAAAGCTGTGGACAGATGTCACATTAAAGCTTTGATATGATACTTAATTTGGTGCTTTTTAAAAACATTCAGCCATATATAATCTTTAATTTTTTTTACTGTTTATTAAACTTCCCCCCTTATTGGACATACAATATGATTGAAGTGTGAGGTAAAATAAAATATGCAGTGCTGTCAGATCTCTTGGTGAGAATACAAGTCACTTAAGTGAGATGGCAATGTAGAAATTTGATGAAAACAAACAAACCTATTTGATGACTTCCACAGGGGCAATCAGAGTAATTTTCACAGAGAAATTTATTTATTTATTTATTTATTTATTATTTAAATTTCTACCCCGCCCTTCTCCCAGCGGACTCAGGGCGGCTTACAGCCATTTAAAAACAGATACAAAATACAATAAATACTAAATTTAAAATGTAATTAAAACAAAATATTAATTGGCCTTTCTTTTTAAAATTGTTTTAAAACCAAATTAAAATATCCCTTAGGCCAGACCTGCTAGCTTAAATAGCCATGTCTTGAGGGTGCGGCGGAAGGAGGGGAGATCCGGAATCACCCGGATCTCTGGGGGTAGTTCGTTCCATAGGGTGGGGGCTCCAACCAAGAAGGCCCTCCCCCTGGGGGTCGCCAGCCGGCACTGTCTGGCTGACGGCACCCTGAGGAGACCCTCTCTGTGGGAGCGTATCGGCCGATGAGAGGTAATCTGTGGCAGAAGGCGGTCTCGGAGATAACCAGGTCCGATGCCATGGAGCGCTTTAAAGATGATAATCAACACCTTGAAGCGCACCCGGAAAGCCACCGGCAGCCAGTGCAGCTCGCGCAACAGCGGCGTTACATGGGAGCGACGAGTCACTCCCATCACCGCCCGCGCGGCTGCATTCTGGACTAACTGGAGCCTCCGAGTGCNTCCATTTTGTCAACCGTTAGGATAATGTTGTTTGTACCTTTTTGTTAGCTTGTTTACACAACAGACAAAATCCGTATGTAATCAATATGCAGTAACCAATACTGGGGAGATAGGTGACTCTCTCGGCAATAACAAACCCAACTCTAAAAAATAGGTTACTTGCAGGAAGAAAAGGAAGGATGAGAAATCCCAATCCCAGGGTAAGGATTCTGAAATGCAGAGGAAAAAAATATTTTACAACATGTAATGAAACTCTCACTACAATATTATGATACAAGAAATTCAAACACATATTGCCATTTGTCTAAGTTTCCATTCCCCAGAAAGAGTCATCATGGGGGAAAATCACATAGGCTTCTCAGCATGGTCCTTAACTTCCAGTATTAAAGGATTACAAACCATTTAGAAAGAAATGATTCAATCTAATAATTCTAACTAGGCAAGATGAAGATCGAAACTATTCTCTTTATTTTGAAGAAATTGTTACCTCTGTAGAAGAGCTCTACAGGATGACTACTATTTAACTATGAGTTTCTCAGGTTTATTACAAGATATTTTGCTTTTTTTTTTTTTTTAATCATGAACCATGGCTCTCTGTTTTGTTTTTTCCCCCCACCATATCAATGTGTAGGATTTCAGATGACAGGACACAACAGCAACTGCCTAAATACAGTTATTTCCTTTTAATGTTTTGGGGATATTAAAGACTAGTCCTAGATATTTCCTAGGAACATGCAGTGCTGCATATCTGGAACAAAACACATTTTGATGGCTTAGAAAAATATCACTATCAAGAAAAATGTAAATATCCAAACATAATACAGTGAAGAAAAATATCTAAGATGTCTGTAGTAAAAAAAATCTGCAGAACAGAAAGTGTGTATGTATGTGGAGGGATAGATGGGTGTTAAGATAAATAAACTACATATTTATTCTTTGGTCTCCTGGTCTTTTCAATTGTCTATTGAAAAACCTTCTGTAGAAACGGGTCCTTCCTAAACAATGTGGGTTGGAGTAGTGGAAGTTTTGGGACAGGGTGACTGGCTTCAAATGGGGCTTACAGTATAACATAAATAATCTCCCAAAAAAATCACAGAAGGAAAGCTTTCAATTTCTTCCCCAAAAATTCCCCCACTTTCCTTTCCTTTGCATTATTAGGACAACCCTTTTTTGCAAGTTTGTTTGGAACTATACATGATGTGCAATGAACCATTCAAGCACTGTGATGCACGTAAGGTTATTATTTTTAAAATCATTCTTGTTTTAAAAATTGCAATCTGAAACAAAGCAAGTGCTCACAGAAAATGTCTAATCTGAAGCCCAGTCCTTTTTGTCAATTAAAACAAGTGCAAATGAGAGAATAATTACTGATTATCTAATCAACACAGAAGTGTACCTTAATACTTTTACAGAAATCATTTAACAATTCAATTCTGTCAAACAACTTTCACTTGTTTAAAATGACAGTATGTTTTTCCATTATTTTCCCTGGATCTGTTTACCAACGAAAGAGTAATCATCCTGGGGCAAAATTCTATTTAAAACTAACATAGCCAATATCAATAATTATTTTTTTAGTCTCTTATTTTTTGTTTTGCTGGAGGAACAGTGTTGAAAAACATCGCAGATCAATTATACGTTATTCTGAGCACAAATTATTTTTTTTACTTCCTACAGAGTTAAGGAGCTCAAAATATCCTCTCACAAGATAAGGCATCACTTTCCCCTTCAGGTTTTCTTCCCATGGCCAGTGGAAATAAAGATGGGCCCCAATTAGGAGGGTGCTGCTATAAATATTTATTGGCGCTGCATTTGCTAAAGAATATTGATTCCACTAATTCCACAAAGAAGAGTGGTGCTATATGTCATGCAATAATGTCTTACCAACTTAGGAGAACCTTAACATGTTGACCCGCATTTACCTTCTCTTCTGGCCATCTTTCGAACCCATAGCTTGGCACGCCAGCACAATCATGCACAGCCAAAGAAGCACCAGGGCAATTATTCTCCGGTCACTGATTGATTTAATAAGGGGCACGCAGCCCATTGACCAATCAAAACACAGCCACCAGGGACACAGCAGCAGCCAAGCATTCAGAGAATAGTAGTAATTATAATTTACAGCCTGTCAATGAAAGGGAAAATATGTGTGTGCGTGTGTGTATATGAAGTTGTGGGAATATCAAAAACAGGGAGGGCAATCAACATTTCACAAATGAATCTGAATTTCAAGGAAACATCTTCTGCTATTTAAACTGAATCGAACCAAACAGATTTCACAAGACTCAACCAGTTAGTGAAATGTAAGTAAAATAATGTTATCTTGATGTGATCAGAATCACCTTGCAGGTCAAGATGATTACAGTTCCTTGGAAGGTTAGGAAATAATGTATGTATAAATCAAAGGCCCCCATGGAAAGTTTAAAATTCAACATGGCTGTTATGACCACACAATTGGAGCCAAGCCTCTTGTGTATACTTTATTAAAAGGGACACCCCTTCAATCTGGGGGAGGTCACTTCTGTTTTCATTTCTTTGATTTCAACCCCTCCTCCCTGCTGGCCCTGATATGAACTTATACAACTACATGAGATCCTGGTCCAACCCAGATTCATACTGTCTATTTTGATCAGCAACTATTTCCAAGACCCCTGGTAGACATTTTTTTTTCTAAGCTATTATTGGCATAGTTGGAAGTGAACTCAATTGGGAACTCAATTTACACAGTACATTCACTGTGTTACTGCCCTGTGCCACTGTCTGATTTTTCTAATAATCATTAATGTTGGCAAAACCCCATTTTTTCCAGCTTACCCTTACAAAAGGACTGGTTGCAAATGAAGCTGGGTTATCCACTTCTGTAAATGCTGGAGGCCCTGTGCCCATAATTTGCCAGCGGGCATATAGAATAGTGGCTCCTCCAGATAACAAAAGAGTCATTCTGAAAAGAAGTCCTTTTCTAAACACCACCAGGCTCTATGAAGAAAAGGGAAATAATTATTAAAAAAAGAAATCTAAGTTATTAACTGCTTTTTACTCTTAAAAATAGAAACAGAGCAGATAGGTATTCACAGACTGGATAGGAATGAGAAAAGTTAACTGGCTCTCATTAAAATAATTGTAACAGCCATTAAAATAACCAAGATTGTGGGAGAATAACAACCATCTGAACATCTTGCACGCTCCCCAGGGGAACCCCAAGGTTTTTGGATAAATCATGGTTTAAAGGCTTCCCAGAAAGCTAGTAAGGATAGATGGTTTGAATCATGGCCCAAATTAAATTCCATAGCTGTATAAGAATAACCAAGTGTGGGAGGCATCTATCATTATATACAGTATTTTCCCATAAAAGATATTGAAATGCAATTCCTCATTATAGAAACATCCATGTAGGTGTTACTGCTGGTTGAATTATGTTGGTGTCATTTGATTTTATTGATCTGTACATTTATGCACTGGCTTGATAGTTGGGTAGTATAAAATGTCATTAAAAACAAGCATTGTTTTATAGTACTGCACCAGAATAGGAAACATTAAGAAATAATATCTCACAAGCTTAATAACAGAATAAAACATTCTACTTTTATTGAAATCAACAGAGAAGTCTTTTGGCAGGAAATTTGGTGGAAATATTATTTGTTAGTTTGCTAAGCTTTTTTTAAAAATTATTTAACGTTACTTTCTACATGTATCAATACCCTTATTTCAGATATGTCAATGTGAATGTATACAAACCTATATAGTATTGCCATTGCTTTAACTGTTCATAATTTGAAAAAATTTTTTTTACACTTTGATAGATATTTAAAATACTTATAGCTGTCATGTAACAGAATTCAATAGTAGCCTGGAATGATATTTTTTTATTTTATTTGACAGAGAATATCAATGGTGCTTAGTATTTGACATTAATAGTAGACATTCTATGATATTTTGAATTTGTTAGATGACATGCAATCCTTTATGATATCTGGCAGTTATCAGATACTATTATTCACCGTGTTTGATAACTGAGAAAACAACAAATTAAACAAGGAAGAAAGCCAATATTACAGTAACAGTCAGGTTTCAAAAGCTGTGGACAGATGTCACATTAAAGCTTTGATATGATACTTAATTTGGTGCTTTTTAAAAACATTCAGCCATATATAATTTTTAATTTTTTTTACTGTTTATTAAACTTCCCCCCTTATTGGTCATACAATATGATTGAAGTGTGAGGTAAAATAAAATATGCAGTGCTGTCAGATCTCTTGGTGAGAATACAAGTCACTTAAGTGAGATGGCAATGTAGAAATTTGATGAAAACAAACAAACCTATTTGATGACTTCCACAGGGGCAATCAGAGTAATTTTCACAGAGAAATCTCTCCTATGCTGTCTTCCTCTACTGTTGCTTTCCAGAAGTTTTGGATTTCAGTTCAGAATCTTTATATCTAATCTATGTGCACATTTATGGAAAACCATGCTTCTTGTATTATATGTGATGCCTAACTAAACAGATATGTATAATATTAATCCTTGCAAGAACTTCTCAGCTATAATGAAAGTCCAAAGAAATCTATTTTGGGGGGTGTTGGTAATACATAAGATAAGGATTTAAATTGTAAGACGAAGGTTGATAGTAAAATAAAACTCCACTTAAGGTGACTTTATTTACCTTTGTTACACGACTTTCGTTCCGATCTTATTCGTTCTCTAAATAAATTGACTTGTCGTAAAACACTATCGGATCAAAATTGTACTACAGAAAAACTTCGTACTTCATGTCATAACGGTATAAACTTCTGAATACCTTCTTATGACAGAATTCTGTATTTCAGGTTGCAAAAACTATCCTAATTAATCCACAATCTTGAGGAAAAGATGAACTGTTCTGTCACTTATAGCATGATGTAACTACAATTAAACTGAAACAATAAGGCACTAATTATTGTTTTGACATGGAAAATTTAGGTTGGGCTCAAGAGAAAGAGAGACTCTGAAAGGATATAATTATAGTATTCTGGCAAGACGCCACTTAATCAATATGATCAAGTACAGGCAGTCCTCGACTACTACAACTGAGCTCAAAATTTCTGTCGCTAAGTGAGACATTTGTTAAATAAATTTTGCCACATTTTACGACCTTTCTTGCCACAGTTGTTCAGTGAATCATTGCAGTTGTTAAGTTAGTGCTGTTATAACTTTAAACAGTCACTAAATGAATTGTTGCAAGTCAAGGACTACCTGTAGTTTTAGCAGCATTCACAGTCATGATCAAAGAATATTATGCAATATAAAGGTGGCCCATTAATCATTTGGAGAAATATTCTTTTTTTGAAGGAACTATTCTAAATAGTATTTGATTCCAGTATTTTCATTTATTAAATTCGAGAGCAGTTTGTCACATTGCTCTAAGGATGTTAATGTTATAACATTTAATGCTAACATTTAAACAGTGATTACGGTATATGAAAAGATGTATAGGTATTCCTTGAGAAATGACAACCCACTAATGATGGTTCAAAGTTACACCCCAAAACTACATACGACTCTGCTTCAAAATTATGACAGCTGCAGGGCCCTGCGGTCATTCACCTTATGACAGACCAGGGGGATGCTGCAGCTGCAGCACCCTCTCTCTCTTCCCCCCATCCTACCTTGACAGGACCCTGAAGCGCTCCAGCCTGATTCTCTCATGCCTCTTGTAGAGAGTAGTTTACGGTCTAGCCCAGGGGTAGGCAACCTTGGCTCTTTTATGACTCGTGGACTTCATAGCTGGCTCAGGAATTCTGGGAGTTGAAGTCCACGAGTCATAAAAGAGCCAAAGTTGCCTACCCCTGGTCTAGCCTTTAAGTCCTAGCTGGACTCTACAGACAGTTAGACGGACAGCTAAAGCTTGCAAAGATCCAGCGTCCTCCATTTTGTTGCACAAATTTCTAGTCAGCTAACTTTCGGAGATGAAGGGTTCTTCTTTAGCCTGAGTCAAGATAAGGTTTTTAAAAGGGATGGAGAGTGGAGAGCAGAGTCACAAAGTTTAGTTTTAGCATCTAATTTTGGGCGGGGGAATCAACAAACCTGTCCCTTCCACCTTTTGTTTTTGTTTATTGAAGAAATGTGGCTTTCTGGGAGAGGGAGGGGTTTAAGCAAGACAAAGGTTTTGGGAAGCTCATCCTGAATCTGCTGCATTTTATGCTGGAATGGGACAACTTGGCGCAGCCAACTCGCTGCGGCCAACTCGCCGTGATCAACTCACCACAGCCAACTCACTGTGGGACAACTTGCTGTGGGATAATTTAACAATTCAATTTAATTATTTAAAATAAATAAAAACTATTTTAATTTTTGTCATTCACATTTCATTTTGTCCCTCCTTTTGCATCCTTTATTTGTTCTATTCCACCATTTCTTTGATATTAGAGTAACACTTGTCCTGCAGCGAGATGGCCACAGCAAGTTGGCCATGGTGAGTTGGCTGTGGCGAATTGTCATGGACCCCTTTTTTCCAGGGCTGCAAAGTTGTCCTGTAAAAGCCAGCCCCTGCATAAAAGGGGCCTATGACAACTCGCCACAGCCAACTCATCATGGCCAACTCACCACAGGACAACTCGCTGGGGGACAAGACTTACGGCCAGCTGATGGGCAGCCAGCTGATGGGCGCAAAAAGCTTTGAAAGGCTAGGGAACTGGTCCTTTTTTGCCCCAGAAAGGCAGGGCACCTTGGCCGGAGGAAAGACAGAATTTAGGAAAGTGTCAAATGAGAGTAACCATGAAGCAAGGCGGTTCAAATGAATACAAGTTTATTGCATGCTAACACTTTTTACCAGAATCTGAACTACTAACGATCGAAGCAAATGCAAATAGATGGGGGTCAATGGAATTCAAGATGGGCTAGACTTAGATCACTTGTGGGTGCAAAGGGGCTTGAAACTGATGATGTGCTTGGCCCCTCCCATGGGCTCAGCCTGGTAATCTCCTACAGAAAGGCAGGTGCGCCCAACTTTTTCCTTCCCCATTGTTTCTTGCTGGCAAGACAATCAGCTATGTGTTGGTATGCAAGCCAACAAGGGCTGGGAAGTGTGGGCTTGTGCCTGCACTAGGCTTCCCAGGATCTTCCCCACCCCTGAGCTCCACTTAACAATCCGTGCATTCGTTTAACAAATGCACAGGGGAAAGTAGGGATGGCTGGCCATTACTTGAGGCAGTTCATTTAACATTGTCCAGACTTCTAACCCTAATGGGCAGGCTCCATTACAGTCATAACTCAAGGACTACCTGTATCTCACACAATATCTTATTCAATCTAACAATGGACTTACCTCTACTGACTTGTCCTTACGAAGTATCTTCAAAACAACTTCCAAAATATTGAGCCTGTTGATCACGACAACATCAAACAGAGCATTTAATCCCTAAAAATACAGAGAACAAAGTAAGAAAGAGAGAAAGAAGGTATGTATATGAAAGAAGATAGTTATATTATTTAAATTATTTTTGTGTTTGTGTGATGTCCTGTTGAGTTTAGAGGGACTTACTTTCAGATGACACAAGAGAGAACTGTAGTCTTAGTTATATGAGATGTTGAACATAAGGGGGAAGTGGTAAATAAAAATCCACAACTTGTGTAGCAAATAGAAACTGATATTTAGGAAGAATCTCTTTTATCCAGTATTAAGGGCTCACAACGTATCTGATAATTAACTTAAACTCTATTTATAACCATAAAAACTCTGAGCTCTGCTGCATATATGAGAATATTCCCTGTTTTGCAGGAAAAACATCTTATACATTTGTCCTGAGGAATTGAACACATTCCAAACATAATATTTTTTTTACAATTTTACTTTGGAGGAAACTCCAGTTTTATGCAAGTGTGGTTTGTTTTAATCAGTTAGTAAAAAAGTTTGATCCTAGTTTAATCTAAATTTGGATAAACAAATGACTATTTCCCAAATCTGTAGATAATATAAAAGATCTGACTGCGGTCACACAAAAAGCCTTCACTCTCTTCAAAAGTCTATAGCTTCATCATTAGTAAATCATTATTTAGTAATGGGGGTTAGGAGGTTAGTTGAGCCCGTGAGGTGATGCTGATTTACTGTTGATTGGGGTTGTGCTCAGTTGCCATTATGTATTTATTATATTGTTATTTTATATTGTGTGTTTTTAACTCTATCTTAGCTGCACAGAGTTGCTATTTTAAATTGATTAAAATATACAATAAATCCATAATTCTTGTGAATGCTTTGGATTACCCAGTAATTGCTGATTCTGAATTCTGGATCAATCTGGAAATTGATGCCGGTGTTATTGGAAAATACCGGCATCAATAATGGAAGACTAATACACACACACACACACACACACACAAAACTGATAGATGAATCCAGTCATTTGTGACTTATAAATCATTGTTTATATCACAGCATACTAATATGATAATAGAGTTATAGGTATAGAGATATATTTCCCACAATGCAAGTTTGGTACTTTCTAGGCTATATGATGTTTTATAACTTACTGTTCAACATCCTAAGAAAAACATTTTTCTGCACATATCAAAGCTTTTACATTTTTTGATATGCACTGCTCAAATCTCATAAAATAGGCTTAAATTATTTTTTTTTTCACTTCAAATCATGTAACTCAAATATTTCTGCGAGCTACAGATTGTGAAATGAATGCATTATTGGAATCATATTAATATGCACAGGAAAATGTCCACGATTTTCCAGAAAACCCAAATCTTTATCAATATAGCCAAACCATGATTAAATCAAATTGTGGTTTAGTACAGTGTCTGGTGATTCACGACAGCAAGGATAATAATGAATAAGGGGAAGCAGCAATGCACCTTTTGAAAATGTTCATAACAAAAGAAAGTTGTTGAAATTGTAAGAAATCCTGAGTAATATTGAAACACAGGAAATGCGTCTTTGTGTACAACACTGTAGTTATCACTGAATTGAGTTGCCAACAAATGTTAAAATTACCAGTATTGTAACTCCTTGTTCTTTGCATAGCATTGCCATGGTGCCAAGGAGAACACTCAACAAAACCCAACTGATGGAGAACTGGGATCCTTCTTTATCTATCAATTTTAAAAGACAAGACAAAAGAGAAAAAACTGACATTCTATACAGATCTTTAGAGAATTAACATGAGTAGTTATGATTGCAAAATATAACAATATAGAGAGTTGTAATTATTTACTGTTAAAATGTTTTTTCTTTGTATATTTTTCAATTTTCACGTGTTTTAAAAAGCACTTTCAATGTATTTTTTCTTTTCTTTGAGAGCGTGTATGCATTTTTTATTACATCTTTGTTTTATTTTTACCTTTTTATTAATTTAAAAGGACTCAAAAGAATAAAAAATGTTTTCTTTATTTTGTAAACTAAATGTACTATTACAGATGTCTAAAGGACATGGTTTTCTTGTTATGTACTTAATATTTTCAACCCAAGTAGACAACATGTTGGGTTGTTTTAAAATTTCTTTTAAAAACAGCCAGTTCCTGACTTGGCTACTTCCGCGGAATGGATTTCTAACTTCTGAAGTGTCTTCCTAAGCAAACACACCTGATCTATCTTCACTTACCACCATCTTAATAAGTAAGCAAGGAAGATAATGACAACACATTGATCCTGATATTCTATAAAAACCCAAGATTTAGGTTGCAGCACTCAAAAACAATAAATGTAGCTTTCGCATCTCAATCCTCGAAAAAGTAAAGCAATAAAAAAGTGCCAATTATGACTCCAAAGATAAACAGATGCCAAGTGTGTTAATCAGTTTAATGAAGCACACATTCTACAACTATGCTGTTTCTCCCACCATGATCTCCTGTCAGAGAATGGAACTCATTTATGGTTGGCACCTGAACCTAGTTTAAACTGGTACACCATATTGTGGGAAGGCATTCTGCCACCCTCAGCAGATGGTCGCAAGCTTGATGTATGCCAAAGATTTGCAGCAAGCATTTGATTCCTGTTCCAAAAGATACAATGCCCACAAGTGCTTAACTGTCATTTTATAGAAGAGAATCTAGTTTACAGAATTTGATTATGTTCATACTGTAAGATTGTGAAGTTTATACATTCACTTTATGTTTCAATGAAGTTGTCCTGAGACAGAGGTCTATTTAGATTGCAAGCTCGGCTGAACATCTATACCTGAAGCTTTTTACTATGTTGAAAGTCTGTAAGTTGCAGTCTAAAGAGACTGATTAAATACAGATAGTCCTCAATTTACAACCACCCATATAGAGACCATTCAAAGCTACAACTACAATGAAAAAAGTGACTTACAAGTGTTGCAGTCACATGATCAAAATTCAGATGCTTGGCAACTGACATGAATTTATGACGGTTGTAACGCCTCCATTTGCAACCTTCCCAGCTGACTTCCACAAGCAAAGTCAATGGGACAAGCTGAATTTGCCTCATGATTAGCTTAATAATTGCACTGATTTGCTTAACAATCATGGCAAAAAGGTTGTAACAATCATCTTGTTTAACAAAAGAAATTCTGGTCTTAATTGTGATTGTATTTTATTTGTGTTTTTTTTAAGAGTTAGATATTTTTAAATCATTTACTCATTTTTAATCGTTTTGAATCTTTTTTTTTTAATCCTCCTGGCTTTACAATAGGGTAAACAGAAAGAGAGTGGGGCACATGAGGACCACCCTGATCTTTACCAGCGTGCTAAAGATCATGTTAAAAAAATGTGGTCATTCATGTATCACTTTGATTTTTCATTCCATTTTAATGTCATTTTATAACATTATGTTATTTTAAGATGTTATTATTTGGGCCATGTGATAACAATTTAAAAAAAGAATGAAAGAAAACCCTGCAGCTATTTTCTTCATCATGAGCAAGTACTAGTTTGGTTGGGAAGCCTCGCTCCTCCTGATGAAAATAATTTTGCATCCTATTTTTCTTTGGAAGCGCAAAACTGAAGCAAGTTGCTTCTTCCCTCTGTTTGAAAAGGGAAAAAAGGGCAGCATAATTTTTGATTGCTAGAGGGAGCTATCACAGTCATAGCTTCCTCTGCTAGCATCATTGTTAAAACGCTGTGGGTTTGTCTTTCGTTTGAATCCTTGCACAGGTGAGGGAAAGAGGGAATGGAAAAAGGCTGAAGTAGACATCAAAGGCTGCTTTGATCCTGCTTAAGCATTAACACTAACTACAGCTGAAGCCTAATTGTTGTGTGAAAAATAAGACACTGGGTAGCCCACCTTCCTCCAAATAATAAAACAGGTAGCAAAGTCAGGGATTCCTGTCCTTCCCAGCACCAAGTCTGAACCCAACGTTTATTTTCTAGGCAAGGAAATGAGTCAGAAAACACAGAATAGGAAAACTCAAAGCAACCTAAGACATCTTAACTAAATGTTTGTACACAATATCGTATATATACCATATAATGCATGGGTACATAAAATGTATGCTACTGATTATATATATGGAAGTCTAAAGCAGGGGTGTACAACCTTTGCAACTTTAAGACTTGTGGACTTCAATTCCCAAAATTCCCCAGTCAGCATGGGGAATTAAGTCTGCAAGTCTTAAAGTTGCTAAAATTGGACACATAAACCCCCCCCCCCAGTCTAAAGGAATGTCCACACAGAATTCCTAGAGTTAGTTAGCTTCTTTAAAAGAGTATCAGCATGGAGAAATGATTGGTTTGTCTATGTTTGGAAACTAAGCAGGTTTAGACCTGGTTAACATTTGTTGTTATTCCAAGACTGTATGCTAGACTGGAAATAATAAAAAAAAACATCCAGAAGAAAGAAATGGTAAAATGTTTCTATGAGCCTGCCCAGAAAATGGCACTGGGACAATGACTAGGAGTGTAAATTGACTCAAGGATGAAAATAAAAACAAAACTGAAGTTTTCCCCAAATAAAGTAAAACTTATGTTGCAGGATAAGTTCTGAAAAATCACATGTAATTTCTATGTATAATAGTGCAATTTTTTTTGACTCCTTGTTGCCCAAATTTTCACGATTCTTCCAACCAGTCATTGAAAAATCAAGGGTGTCGCTAATTAAAATATTGTTAACTCATATGCAGGTGAGTTGGGAACAGAGGTGAGATAGACAAAATAACATTTTGGACATTCTGGTTTCTGAAAAGAAACTATTCCTGAGTCTTCAAATTCAGGCATTATGTTCATGTTTATCATCAAATGGCATAGCTTACCCAAAAATGTTCAGGAGGAAAAGTACTTACTCTCTTTAAATGCTTTGCAGTAGCCAAGAAAAGATAACAAAAAGAATAGGGCACACAAGAGGTCTGCTCTGCCAACGATCCCTGCAATCTTAATAAGGAAACGAAGAAGAGTTTAGCGTTAGTAAATGAGCCTCTTACACGCCACTGAGACAACAACAGTCTTTTAAATTAATGCAACCATCCACACCAGAATTTTGGACACAGTTTTCCCAATTTAATCAGAGCTACCAAGACTGAGAACCTTTTCATTTCAGTATGAGTTAATGAAATGCTTCATCCCCTCCCACTTCACTAGGTGACCCTAACTAGAATTCAACTATTCTCATAAGAAGGAGAGAGAAGATACAACAATTTGCAAAATCCAGGGACTTCTGCAACTATGAAACGCTTTGGGGTTCCATGTTAAATTTCATATATCAACCTAGGTGATCTATGCCTCTTCCTCACAAATATGCAGTGAAGTGTGAAAATGAGTTTGTTTTTAATGAAAGATGGATACCAACTAATCCAATATTAGAGAAGCCTCACAATTTCAACATTAAATATGTTTTCATTTAATTATCCTTAGCAAATGTCTGCAAGAAACCTATATATTATTTTCAAATGTTTG